GGGCCCGCAAATGCATAAACGAATGGCGTTGGCTGCCGAGTATGGGTAACATTTTCTGGTTGAAAGTTTCTGCAAATGGTTTCTTACCTTTAAAGATAATCATTTTCAGTTCTGAAAGTGCCATAACTAATCCCAATTCTTTTAGTGCCTTGTTGGGGTGGCGCATGGGAGCTTTCAGTGATGTGCAGTCTATGTATGTAATGGGCAAAAACATGAAAGGCCATTTGCTGTTCTCGGCTGACAGCCTGTGGGTATGTGTTCTGTAGTTGCACGCGTTTGTGTCAAAGCAGAAACATTCCACGAAAATAAACTTGGGTTACACTTTCATCTGTACCAGTTTAGCTTTGAAACACTTCAAGATCTGGAGTGTCAATGAATTTTCATTCTTGATTGTGAGCTGCTTAGGGACCTTGAAGGGAATGCACTTTGCGTTCAGGCAAGTTGTAACTCGTAGCTCTGACAATGCTTCAGATAAGGCCACCTCTCTGCGTGTTACAGGTACTAAAGACGAGGAAGGCCAATTTTTTTCTTTCGGATTTTAGACAACATTGAAAATAACCATTGGAAAATCGTCCCTTCGTATTTTATTCAAAATCAATGCCGAGATCTCGAAGCTCACTTTAAACATAAGTTATGCATGCATAGTTTGGGAATCCAAAAACTGGATGTAATCTTTGGTTGGTTTGGATTAGATGTAACCTTAAAAGTTAGAGAAATTCAACCATACATTCTGTGTACACATACATTCTGATGGGACTCTTGCATTCTTGGGAAAATATAATAGCATCGGATAGAGCCATCTTACATATCATGACAAAAAAAATCATTGGCCAAAGGTAGGCATCCCCCATTGTAACACCTCATTTAATTCCTCTTTTCTTCCCCAAACCTCAATAGATTACAAGCGCCTTCCCGTGCCTGTAGTTTCGATAACTGATGCTGCTGATATTAAAATTGCGAGTACTAATTTTGTGGTTGTGCTTTAGCCATTGTTCCTGTTTTTGCCTTGTTTGTTGATATACTCATATATTTCTCTGTTGAAACTTATTCCTCCCTGTACAGTAAAAGCTCGTTAATTCGAATTGCACAGGGATGAAAAAAAAAACTTGAATTAAACAAAATTCGAACTACTGTCGAGACTAGTTATAACGAAGTCAACGGGAATCGGAAATTACTTTGATATATCCGCTAATTCGTTATAACCGACTTAACGAAGTGCAAAAGGGAGTGGGAAATCGTGATCGCTTCGCTGTAGCCGCTATTTCGTTATAACCGACTTCGTTATAACCAATCTCAACAGTAACAAAAAACGAAAAAAAAAAAAAGGCCGCTTTTGCACAGGAAACGCTTGGAACGGCAGACCTCTATTATCCAAAGTGATCAGTGGTCATCATCTGCTTCGTTTCTTGGAAAGTTATGGTCATTAGCTTATTTTCGAGGGAACGAACCAAGCACAAGGCATCTTCTTTGCCCTCTTCATAGCTGAAGAAAAGACGCATGACGTTCAATGCATCCATGACATCTGGCGGGGATGGCCAAATCACAGTTTCCTCCACTTCCACTTACTCCTCTTTGTCATCGACGTCGTTCTTTGCTTTCGCGGTGGGTTTGCTAACTACTTGAGCGATGATGTCTTCATCTGTCATAGTGCCACAGATCACCGCGCTACTGTCTGCATCGACGTAATCGGCAAAACTCACATCCTGCAGCAGATCACTCATGCCCTCAAAAACAACCTCACTCTCTCTGGTGTCGCCACTAGCCGCCTCCATTCCCAAGACATTAAATCCACAGTGACGGAAACAGTTCGCAATTGTTTCGGCGGGGACTTGGTCCCATGCGCGAACCATCATGTGCATGGCACTGAGGAGCGTCACGTTATAAGTCTGGTTCCCTTTGGCCACGCAAAGAACCATTCGTTCCAGCATGTGACGTCTGTAGAAGGACTTGATGTTCTTGATCACACCCTGGTCCATCGACTGGAGTGCTGCAGTCGTGTTTGGTTGAAGAAACACTTGTTTATTTGCCTTCAGCTCCACGTCGACCTTGTGCGCCGAGCAGTTGTCTACGATAAGCAGAACCTGTCGGTTGCTCAATTCAAACTTTCTGTCCAGTTTCCTAAGCCACTTCTTAAACAACTCGCCAGTTATCCACGCCGTTCTGTTGGCTTCGTAGTCTGTTGGCAGTGTGTGAATGTTCTTTGAAACACCGAGGCTTCATGGACTTTCCCATTACGAGTAGGGGCAGCTTCTTCGTTTCAATCGTGTTTGCCTAGACCAAGATGGTGACATGGTCTTTACCTCGCTTCCCTCCTGCGCAGTTGCCTCCTTTGTACGTGATCGTTTTGTCCGGCAAGAGTTTAAAAAATAGAGCGGTCTCATCCACGTTGAAGATGTCCCGCGGCGGGTAGCTCTTCAGGTAGGCCTGCAGGGATCCATTTCACCACATTGCTCAAGTTTCCATGCTCACGGCTTTACCTTCACCAGACACGATACGGAAGATGAGGTCGTGCCTCTGACAGAAGCGATGGAATTATCTTTCAGACGCGGTGAAGTCGTGGTGTTTCAAATGTAGTGCAAACTCTGCTGCCTTCGCCATGATGATGGGGTTGGTGAGAGGAAGATCATGGCTTCTCATCTCTTTAACCCACGTGATGAACGCCTTCTCCATGTTTTCCTTTTGCGGACGTATGTTGAGAACATACTCTTCAGGATATTGTGCTTCTTGGCAATCTCGACCTGGCTTGCTTTTCCTGCGTCTACTTCACGCAAAATCTCCACTTTCTCTCCGAGCGTTTTGGCGTGATACTTTCTTTGGGCGAGTATACCCGATGACGACATCGCGGTCTCAAAGCGCATAGCACGTAGCCTGGTCCTATGGCCAACACCACCAGCTAAGTCACCAGCACAAATGGATCGGTGATTGCGCGACGGCTCAAACACAGTAGGTCCGTTTCAACGAGGCACGGAAACAGAACCGCAGAACTGGTAATGTGGAGAACAAAGGGAGGCGAAGGGCTTCAAAAGGCGCGAAAGAAACCTCTCTGAGGGGCCCTATTGGTCTCTCGAACGCCTGGCAATGTTGCTTCAAATGTGGATGTGCGCATTCCTATTGGCCCGCAGTAGATACCGGCAACACTCGCGTTTCCTGCAATGTGCCTGCCGGGTTTAGAAACTTGCAGCAACGCGGCTCGTGCCACGCCTCCTGTCGCTTGACCGGTAAAGCTCCACGCATGGTGGCGCGCGGATTGAACTATTGGTGCCGGAAACGATTTGAGCGTGAAGTAACGGGTTGTTTTACACATGTACCTCTACGCAGTGTGACCAGACCATGGCGACTGGTTTGAATTATCCAAAAGTTTGAATTAATGAGTTGTGAATTAATTAGCTTTTACTGTATTGCCTTCGTGCCCCGAGAAGAAAGACAAATGAAATGAAATGCCTAAGAAATCTTTCACTTGAATTTATCCCATAGATAATTATTGTGATAGACCTTTTGAAAAGAATGGAGTGCAGTTTGTGGCACCAGAAGGAATGCTGGGAACACCTTTATAAAACCATCTGTAGCAGACGACAGAGATAACCATAGAAGTGACGGAGGATGTGTGGGCAAGCAGGCAAAGTCAACCAAGCAACTGCCTTGCCCTTTCTTTCTTTCAACCCTTTCCGTGTAGCACCAAAAAATGGTCTTTAAGGTATGTAAATAAATAAATGAGGTAGATGAAATAGATGTTGGGGCGGCAAGAGGGACCATACAGGACATTCCCAGAATTCATTGCACAGTCGGCGCAGTTTTCTCTCGCAGTAATTGGCTTTCTCGGCCTCTTTTTAGTCTGTATTGTGCTTTTCTTGTAAGTGTTGCCTGGCGTTTATCAAAAAACGAAAAAAGAACCACCAATGAATATATATACAGTTTTATCGTACCAAATCAGTGAAAACAGAATGGACTTTGAACTTTCTCGTCAATGACCTTTATTGGTTATTTCCTGTATCTCGGCAAATATACTAGTGTTGATTGTGCACTACTCATCAATATTTATTTACTATCATTTATTACTCTCATCATTACTTATTTATTTTTTCATTTCACATTTGCTCTGTTTCTACCATCACTCGTCATTTGTTCACGCTTGTCTTGCGGCAACCTTCAGGAGCTTCAGTAGCATGGGCCACCCACCTATTTGCAGTGCGGTGGCTCTCCTAAAGTGTAATTAAATTATCACGAAGGCAGTACCACCGCGGACAATTTGAGCTGAAACAGACGATTTGGCCTTTTTCTTTGTTCGCAGTCCTCGCAAGTTTCATCATCTCCCGATTTGTTAAAATTGGGAGATGAGAAACCTCAACTTCGCTTTACATTTCTAATTTGGACCACAGCTCTCAAAAATTGGCAGGTGCTTGAAGGAGCCCTGAGATCTGTTCGAACTCAAATTGTATGCAGTTATAGTTGTCCACTCTAGTGCAGTTATGCTCACTTTGTACAAATGTTTTCATACTCTACGAGCTCGTGCGTCGCCCATGCGGGATGCATATTATTAAGCATTGGTTTCTTGTGTAGATGGGCATTGCTGTAATGTGCCGAATAGTGCCATAAATTAACACCGAACAGCACTACTACCTGTACATGTTTCCAAATACGGTCTCGGGCGCCGTCATCTTGCTGTTGGGGCACCGAGCTAATCCGATTACGACGCCTTAGTAATGTGTCATAAATGGATTATGGCCACACCCATGCATACCCCAAGTGAGCAACATGGCGGCGCCCGGAAGCCGTACTTGCAAATGTGTATTGGCCTATCCGCTTGTGGTAGGCATAGGCAAAATGTGTCTTTTTTTTTTTGGAAATTTCAGACTAAATTTTCAGGAGCAGCTTTCACATCTTTTGCTAGCATGTACATCCATTTTTATTTTCAAACACTATGTGCATTTGAGAGGTACTCTGAAAGTATTATTACATGATCAGCATCCAATGGAATTAAAATAATTGACACAGGGCTGCAGTTTTCAAGGTAAAACAAGTGCTTTTTATTTACATTTTATATACAAAGGAAGGAGGGTAGTCAGTAAATAACTGCCCCTTTTACCAAGCTGAAAATCAACCGTCGAACGACTCGCAAAAGCAAGCATCCAATGCTGCACAACTGCACCAAGAACGGCACGATTCGAATTTCGAAAAACAAACGCAACATCACATGCACATTCAATAGGGTGTGGGGCATACGTCGACCGGATTTGTGAGGATGCAAAATAAAACGTTGCGTCCTCGCAATCTAGCACTAAAAAAGGTTCATTTAGGCACCCGAATCGGGTCGTCACAATCGGTCAACATTCACGCAAAGTTTTCGCCCGAAGCCGTAACGACAGCTTTGGTTATTACTGATAAGACGGGGAGATACATTTCTCTTCTCTTCAACGAGAGCTTTCCTCTGTCGGTTGCACAATCGTGCTTTTAGGTGCGCCACCACCCTAGCCGTTTGCTGATCGTGTCGTCGGATGCCCGCACCGAAACTCCACTCACCCATGAGCCGACGGTGCGGTGGAGACTGTGCACTCGCCGGACGGCCGATGAAAGACCAACGTACGATCGGCACAATGGGCGCGTAGCTTGCGCCGCACTGTCGGCCCAAGGCCTGTCCGCACTCTCGCGCCTGCTTGCGACAGAGTTCTCGCGATTTCTTACGACGAGAGGGCACACTGGCGCTATCTACGAAGCGACCCTGGAACTGCATTTCGCCAGAGCAAAGGTTTCACGGTAGTTGTGAGATCCAATGCGTATACTATATACGAGAAATGGTAGTCTAGAACGTTGTCTAAAGCTTTTCGGGCTGAGAAAGAGAGAATGATACGAGAAAACAGTAAAGAGCACAAGTTCGTCCGCTTTTTTGCGGAGGCTGCAGTGACGTCGAAATGCCGAGTTTTGATTGGCTCCGATTGGAAGGATAGTGGATATACCTCGAAGCAAGTTGCCTCGAGGTCTGCCGACCATCCTCCTAATCGGAGCCAATCTGAACTCGACGTTTCGACGTTGCCGCAACAACGGAAATACGCGGAAATGTCGAGTCTTCCCACGGCTACCCAATAGATGGCGCTAGTGTGCTTTCTCCTCATAAAAGATCCAGAGAGGTTTTGAGTTGCTCGGTCGTAAGCGGTTGCATAGTGTGTGAACTGGCCTTTGGGTGGTGAACCATGCATAGAAACGGTCGCCGTCCCGTTGTCAGGACCTTCGCTACACATTTTAATCGCTTGGAAGAGCTCTTGGTATCTTTCGGCGCCGTACGATCCGACTGCCGCATTCCGCTCGCGTCGTCAGTTGATGCGGACGTTGTTGCACCCCGGCGCGTCGCTTACAACGTGTCGACGAATTCCTGGAAGTAGCTTCCCATGTTGTAGACAATGTCGACGGGATCGAACGCGACTGCTTTGATGAATCGCCAGGCTCCCAGCATCAGCAGCATGTTGCTGGCCTTGCTCACGATGTACAGCCTGCGGGGAGAGCGTGACGGTTACGCTTTGTTCCTCGTGCTCGGCCGTTGCGCGCAATGCCCGGAAAACGTCTTTGACCGACGCTTCTTTGAACAGGGTCTATCGATGTTACTTTTATGATGACGTCGTAAAAGTAACTTTGTCGTCGGCCTTGATCTTGAGCGGCGGTGGTGGTAGGCGTGGAAGATGCACGTTCTGTAGCGGGTCGCTTTTCGGCTCGGCGGTGCGTGAAAATTTCGGCAGCCGGGAGTTAATTACACGGCGACACTCGCGTGTCTGTGTAGGAATCCCGAAGGAAATTCACTTTGCATTCACGTAAGTTGTCGCTCGTACCTCTGACAGTACTTGGCTGAAGGACACCTTTCTACGTGTCATAGGTATCTTAGATGAGAAAGATTAGGTAAACGAAAGGAGTACACGGGACAAGCTTATCCTGTTTGTGCTCCTTTTGCTAGTCGTCACGTTTCTGTGCGCCACTTCGTTGTCATGAACCGACTCGCCATCATCACCACCTCTCAAAGTTTCTTTGGCCTCCTAGTTCCAACTTTGAGTAAGACGGGCAGAATTTCGAGAATGCTGCCAGTACCGGAAATTTGCCTATGGACGTGAATGTGTCGACCCTGCATTGCATGGCGGCAGTGAAAACAGAAATGCGTGTTTGGTACTCACTTCGTGAGGTGTCTTTGTGCCTCGGGGAGTGTGTCGAGCTCTTCTTTGAGCAGGTACTTGCGGATGCCCATGCAGTAGTTGAACAGGTACTCCTTCCAGTCGAGGGTCTTCACGTCGAAGTTGAACTCCTGCCAAAGAGGACAACAGCCACGTGCCCTTCGTCACAGACATTCAACACTCCATCAGACTACCTCGAAATCCACACTAGTGAATCCCCGAGTACAACCACGGACAATACGTATGAGCTGCAACAGCTCGGCTTGCTTTTTGGCTTACCTGACAGTTTTTATTAGAAGCTGTGGTTGAAATTTGCATTGGAATGCAAAGCTTAGAACCTTTGACAGTTTGAGACGTAATAGAGGTCGTGGGAAGGCAGCCACTATTTCAACGTCTACTATCAAAATAATTGAACTATTATTTTGTTGCCCGTGACACGACTTCCTAAAGACGTGAAAATATTTTACGAATAATTTTGACCTTTCCAGTCAAACTTTCCACCACAAACAACTGACCGAAGTTTCGACTAGGAGCTTTGGTCTCAGAGAAGATTGAAAGTGGCGATATAAAAATTATCTTGTTTGCAGTTGGTGTTGCACCTTTTGCTGACATCAATTGCCATGTGATCAACTGGATTGGGGGAATACAAGAAAACTTCAAGACACAACTCTGCTATCAGGCTGCACATAATGTTTACTTGATCAGAGAATGCATGACTTATTCCACATTATCTATAAGAGACGGGAGCTGCTTGCGCAACATTTAATGTTGGAAAAATGCATGTTGAATAGACGATTTGCAAATTTCCCAAGCGCCCCGGCCCGCGTGCAAGGAATTGTGGGAGAGATTGTCCCTCGCCTAGCCGCTCTGCCTTGAGGTTGCATTGCGTTGTCGCTTGCCTCCTCTTAATCCTCTGTTTTTCGGTTGCATTACCTATTTTATCTATTCAAGTGTATGTTTTATTGCTTCTAAGTGTTCTTATTCTCTTCTACGCACAATATTTCTTGTATATATATATATATATAGTATTTGTGTCTTTATTTCGCCTTTTTCGATGGGAGTGCCCACGGGCAACACGCCGCTTCGCGCGTCATTCCCTCAGTGAGTACAACCTTTGCTACCGATTCCTATCGCGCTGTTAGCTGTTCATTTTGGTTCATTTGACCCGCGTGCAGTCGAGAGGAGCCGTTTATGAACACCCGCGCACATGTCATAGGGGTAGGCAGAGCTCTGAATCAACAATCGCGACGCAAGAGCCGAGTGCGCTGTGATTTGGCCGCCCGCGCTCACTCCGTTGACTTACACTGTAGCGTATGCCTTCAAGTGCCGCTTAACTTGACCAAGATACAGCACGCCACTTTGCCATCGCGAATCATTTGTCCGAATGCCTGGGAAACCGTGACGCTGTTCGGCATATCCAACGCTGCGGCGCCTGACAACTGCACGCTGCAGCGCGAGCCCTTAGCAAGCGCCGGCGGTTCAACGTCGCGGCTTGTATGCATCTTTGGCATGCATTCATGATCAGTCTCCTCAGCAGTTGTCAGTTGCTGACATCTTGACTGAAGCATCAGCTGACATCTTGACTCGAGCAGCAGCTGACATCTTGACTCGAGAAATAAAATTATCGAAGGAACTACGAGTTTCAAGGTGACTGCCTGGGTGACATCACATCTCTGCACTTGAAAAAGGGTGTTTGCAACTGACAACCGTTTAGAAGATAGATCGAGAAGGCATACCATAAGCGCATGCAAGCTACGATGTTGGGACACCGGCGCTTGCGAAGGGCTCGCGCCACTGCGCGCAGTTTGTCAGGCACCGCACGTTGCATATGACGGCGGTGTTACGGCTTCGCAGGCATTCATACAAATGAACCAAAATGAACAGCTAACAGCGCGATAGGAATCGGTAGCAACGCTAGTACTTGCCCGGGGAACGAGGCGCGAAGCGGCGTGTTGTCCGTTGGCACTCCCGTCAAAAAAGGCGAAATAAAGACACAAATACTATACATATACAAGAAATATTACGCGCAGAAGGGAATAGAAACACTTAGAAGCAAAAATTATTACACTGGAATGGATAAAAATAGGTAATGGAATCGAAAAACGTTGGATTAAGAGGAGGCAAGCGACAAGGCAATGTGATCTCAAGGCAGAGCGGCCAGGCGAGGGACAATCTCCCACAATTCTTTGCGCGCGAGCCGGGGCACTTGGGGGATTTTGCAAAAGGTCTATTCTGATACAGACTTCTGCTTGGTGCATCGGAAGCTTTGTTGTTCATTTGCACCGGCGAAGAAACATCAAGGAGGCAATATTTGCTTCCTCAACACTTTGTTTATTGTCCAGATTGTTTTGTAGCTACCCCAGATTCATCATACGCAAACAAAACGAAAGGAATCTCAAAAATGAATCCACAAACTAGGTGCAGGGCGAGACCAACCGGATTGCTTTGCAACTATTCAAAGATGCACTCACTTGGTAGGGGAGGTGTGGAGGTGCAAGAATAATTAAAAACTCGGTGTTCAGGGGCTCCGGAAGTCAATTCTGATCGGGGGGGCGGGGGTCAAGGCTGAGATCCTTGCAGTGCAGATTCCCCCACCCCCCCCCCCCCCAACTCTGAAGATCGTACGCACGGAAAAACCGAAATAGAGGAAGCGACCTTTGTTTAGCCGAAATCTTTTCCGAGTAACAAAAAGAGATCTTCAAAATCTCTAGCGCGCAAGAGCGTTTCCGTGGCCTCTCCTGTCACATCGAACAAAAGTATGAAAATGACTGACGGATGGCAGAAATGCTTTTCGCGTCTAGGCGTCGTGCAGAAACTTCAAGGGGCGCCTCCCATGCTAGGCCAGCTCTGAACCCTCTCCAGCCATTATGGGATCAGTGCGCTTAATTGGCACGGTATTGGCATGGCCGAGCTTGAAAGAGCCGATCCCAAGCAAACCTCGTCAAAGAGAGTGTGCAGCCCCTCCGTGGACATAGGCTCTGGACTGCTGTTCGTCGAAGCGCTCTGCCAGAAACCAATTTCCAGCGGCAAGAGGTTTTACGTTTGGGGAGGCTTATCCAGAGCCGGAGGGAGGCCTCCTCCCCTCCATCCTTTCCTATGACAAGGAATGGTAGAAAGATGCCTATCTCAGTTGTCCCCGTCCCACTGCCAGTGATGAAGATGTGACCAGTACGCGCGCCTCAAGGCTGGCTCACAAGAAACGTTTACTCCAGCACTTAACAGGGGTATCGGCTTTACTACCAATTCTCGTCCCGACAAAACGCTTTCTTATTCCGCTTCAAGCTTGGAAGGCGCGGTAGCATGTTGCTCTGACTACATTATGGGAGGGTTGTGGGTCAGCCTTCAGCGTCGGGGGGGCATGACCCCTACGAAAAAAACATAAGGGGGGCGGATGCCTCCCCTGCCCCCCCCCGGTTCCGGAGCCCCTGTCAGTGGTATTATAGTTGGGGTCCTTCGTTTTCGGGTAGACCCCAATATTCGCATAGATTTACACCCCAGACATATTCCTTGAAAATCGGGTTAAACCCAATTTTTCTCCAATTTTGGAAATTGAGTTCAAGCATTTTCTAAATAACTCTGCCCCGAAAGAAATTTGCTAGGGAACAAAGAGTTGGTATTGAAACATTCGTTGGCTCCATACATCTCAAACAATCGTAGATTCTTTTGGAATCAGTGAACTTCAGTAACGTAAATCGAGCCCTCAAATGTTGCTTTGATGTCCATTGTGAAGTGTCCTTTACCCCTCCCCTTTTTCCGTTTCAACTAGTGCCAAAAAAAAAAGATGGTAAAAGAATAGTGAAAAACTACTCATTTCGAAGATCGGACGGGTCTAGGATGGAAACAGAGATGCTGCCCATACAGAATAATATATAAGCAATGAGGATTTATTAAAAATTTTGACGTCCATGTGAGCTTTTTCTATGTTCCAATGCTATCTTATGTACCCTACTTTATTAAAATAATATCTGTGTTCAATCCAACGAGTTATTAATTATACCTGTATATTTCTAAATATAACCTGAAGACCCTGCATTTTATAATAATTAAACTTCTTTTAATTATTTCTCCTCGATTAGGAGAGAGTGGGAAGAAATGGGACAGTTTTCATACTATAATTTTTTGCATGGAAAGTCCCCAGGCCAATAGTCCCCAGGTCAACAAGACACCGTAATTTTTAATTTGCTCATCACAAAATTTGTCTTTTGGCAACTTGAGTTCTTTCAGTAGGAATGAGTTGCTGCGAGTGCCTTTGAGTAGAAGCAAGTTCTCATGAGTTCAGTGAACTAGCCGAGTCCTCACCTCTTTGTCCTTGGAGCTCATTTCGCTGTAGAGTGCCCGGACGTTGTCGTTGTGGAAGTACCACTCCGTGGTGGTGAAGTACTCGAACAGGTCCATGTTATTCTTCACCTTGTCGTACAGTCGGGACAGCCTGAAATAACGAAGGCATCTCATGTAGGAATGTCGCCGCTCGAGGCTCGACTGGTTTGGCGAACCTTCAAACTTTAGGCAAAATTCTACGAATTGGATGCCACCTCGGTGATTCCAAGGCAAAGTGCTGACCTACGAACCTACAGATCTCCAGGTGGTGTGCTCAAACCCTGGTTGAGGTGCCCGTAATCTTCCAGGGAGAGCAGAGGTTTTGGTTGCACGGCAAAAAAGATATCCAGGTAGTTGAAATCAATTCTCAGTTTTTCGCTGAGGTTTGCCAAATGCCCTTCATTGGTTTTTGCACGTAAAACCCTCGAGTTTGACTATGAATTGGATTAGATTGGATTTTTTCAACTTCCTCACTGTAGTGGGTCATTGCAAAACTTTGGATCTTGAAGGTCTAGCCGGGGGGGCTCATCTTCCGCCTGGAGTTCAACTTCTCGAACGGCGTTTATATCATTTCAAAGTAATATAAACCTGTGTGTTATAAATTTTGGGGAATAGGTAATGACCCGTGTTCAGGGTACATAATGGCAAACAAAATGAGTGAATATTGCACCACTCCTCTGCTGGGCGGTGTCTGCTTGTTCTCAATTTCCACGCTTACTACACAATAGGCATCTGCCACATCTACCTTCGCCGCTGTGCCACGGCCAGGATCTAGTCTGGCAGCACTGCACTTTCATGGGCCGTGTGCAAAAATCGGGGTGACCACTTTTGAAAAAGCGTAAATCTTGAGGCACCGCGCGCGCATACAGAGGCGGGGCTCACATGGGCTTGCGTCCGACGGCGCGGAGGGCGACATCGAAGGTCTGTGCCGGCAGGTAGTGCTGGAAGAACATGCGCAGGCGGTGCAGCAGCTTGGAGTGGGTGCAGCGTGGCTGCGGGTAGCGCAGGATGATGCTCGACGGGTAGTTGTAGGGTATCTCCCAGGTGTGCGTCATGAACTCCTGCCACGTCAGCGGGTTGTCTGCCCCGGAGGTCATGTTGTACACCAGCAGCTTCTGGCTCCTGCAATTGGGTGCGGGAAACGGAACAGGGGGGGGCGTTGTTCGTTTATACATCTAGAAATGCTGGAACACTGTGGCAGGTGGGGTATTACAAATATCAATTCAACTCGAAATGCAAACATTGGGTCGGGGTGACCGCTCTCTCTATACGACACATCTTTCAAATTGATCGGCATTAAAATAAACGCTTCGAAACTCAATCGCACACTCCAGCTCAAATGCTTAAAGGGATTGTCCGGTCGAAACCGGAAGTACTTAAGTTTTTGCGCTCGTTGCGTCAAGGGAGCCTCCATGTAGACAAACGTTATTTTTATTTTGATATATGATCTCCCGTTATTAATTAAACCTTTCATGAGCGTATGTACGAAACTGCACCCCGAATTTCGCCAGTGTCAATGGCTGACATCCGTAAGTGCTGCGTGACGTCACAGAACGCAAAGGTTTGTCGGATGGTCGGGATAACAAGCGTTGATCGATGGATGTCTTTTATTTTGTTTCGAATTATATAATCTTCTAGGGTGTACCCTACTGAAATACGGTTCTTTGAATGCAGTTCCTAAGCATGTGCAAACAAAGTCACGCCTTTTAGCGGGATATTACTGGCAAACAGCCATAAGCTTCGAGCAAACGTATGCCGTTTCGCGCAACAAGAACTATGCAGCTGCGACGGCCACCGATCAAAGGATGCAGATTTCGCCTCTGAAGCTGCACCTAGGTACACGAAGCGGCATCTGAGTACACATGTCAACGGATCCGCTGGATCTGTGATGAGGCTGCGGGACGTTTCCTCAGAGGCGATGTCCGCGGGTCGAAGGCAAACGGCGAATCGTTCAAATGCATGTCGTCAATTGACTTGGGCGAGCTTGGTGAATTAATCGTATAGTCACGCTCCATTTTCACACACGGGTCAAAGAGAATCGGGCTGCAAGCGTGCTAAATACAACTTCTGGCATTGTTTCCAGACGGCCTAGCTGTTGGTTTCTGTCATAAACTCTGGCGCCGGCCGACTCTCCCACAAGCTTTTTCTTTGCGATTTTGTGCTGCTCGCCGTGCCCCTTCGCCAGTTTGCCTTTTCAGTGAGCAAATTGCGTTGCGGCGACCACAAACGGGAAGACGAAACCCGGTTTTGTTTGTTTCTCTGTTTCTTTCCCCCGGGGGTGCCTTCGGCGCCGCCGTGGAGGGGGACGGTTTTCGCGGAAAGCCGAATCAGCCGATGGTTTTTGCGCAGAGCTTTTTGGGTCGTCAAGGGGGCAAGACGTTCATGGTTGCGGGGTGAAGTCGGAGGGAATGGCGTCCCGGCGACGCGATATCTTCTGAGTCTTCTTTATTATCGTCACCGTCGCGGTCTTCCTGCCAGTTCACCACCGCCGAGAGGCTGAGGATGCCCCTTCGACACCAAATTTCAGTGAGACCCGTCCGTAAACTTCGGACTTCGCTTTTGCGGACGTTTTATTTCGATTTGCTCTCCGTCCGTGGCTTGGTTCTCTTGTTTCATTGTTTTTTGTATTCTGAACCGTAGTATCGCTTTAGCGCGTCGAGGTTCCACAGGAACTTCACTAAGTATAAAATAGAAAGAATTCTTTCTATTTTATACTTAGTGAAGCTCCTATGGAACCTTGGGGTTTTCTTTTTGTTGTGTATTGTTTGCCGATGCGCCAAACCTTGACATTTATGTTCACATATATATATATATTTTTTTTTTTTTTCATGTAAATATATTGTTCATTGTTCAAACTCTGTGTCCGCCTGAGCTCATTTCGTTCTTCCCCAACTTGGGCACACGCGCCAACCGCGCCGGCTGACCGGCCTCAACAAAAATAAATATTGTTTACAGTCGTTGTAGAGGGGCAGCGGGAGAACCGTCAAAGGGGAATCGAAACTGTGACAGTTTCGGTTTCGCTGCATAATCATATTGATTGATCCGATTTGGGCGAGGAGTGGATGAACGTAGTTTAATATCGTTGGCACAGCATCGCACCTCAGCTTACGAGCCTTCTGTCCGCTTAGAGCTCAGCTCGTAGCTCTTTTCTGTGAGGTGATTGCTGCATAAGGGGAATCTCGATCTTGACGGGAACCCAGTCCCTACGTACGACGACAATCCATTTTTCTCGTCACTGCACGTCTCGCGGAAAAGTGTGGAACGTCATGTCTTGGCTCACATGTGCTGCCCGGTGGTTGTGGCACCCAACCGCACAACAAAAATCTCACCCAACCACGAAATAAGTCGAGCACAACAACAAAAACGAAGCACGCTGAGGCCTTCACTTGCAGGCAAACGACGAGACAGAAATGCTCGCCTGCTCGCTTTGTGTTTTGTGACGTCAGAGTTTCAATGTTGCCAACGAAAGCAGCGCTTACGCTAGAATGCGATTGGAGCAGCATAAATACAATTACTCACGCAGAGGGGCATATAAAATTCAGATATTGCACGTACGATGCTTCTCGAGGCAATTCGCGACTCCAGCGACCTATAGGGGGCGCCCCCACCAGACAAACATGGCGGCTGAGTCCAGGTCGCGGCGGGTCGGCCGGGCCGCCTGAACAGGTGGCGCGTTCAATTTAACAGATTTTCTTTTGTTTAATGCCCAATTTTATAGGTATTTGAACTGAGACGGTTAAGTGTAGCCGGTGCAGATAAACTTGCAAAGCATAGTTTTGTTTTGCCGGTGTTTTTTTGTTCTTTTCGTGTCAAACATTCGTTTCGGAGATTTCGTTCAAAACCGAAACTATGGGCTCCGGAGGGACGGTAATATACTAATCAGTTTTGATCATCTAAGGAAAGCGGCGATGACTACAGAATTGTTCCACAGAGATTAACTTTTCAGCTAACTCGCATGCCTCGACCATGCGACTTATCTGTCCGCGAAATCGAGCTTTTGTGCGTATCCGCGTTTACGAAACAGCTCCAGTCGTCTGCTCGGCCAACAACACAGGCTGCAGGAAAATTACGAAAATTAAGCAACCGCCTCTTGAGCCAAGGACCGTGTTAACCCGACGGCGCCCCACTAAGCAGCTGATACTCGTATTTCAATTCAGGTTTTAGTAGCAATCGAGAAGTCATTTTGACGAGCGGGTTATGTATTATATTACGTACTATGGGGGGGTGGGGGGGGGGGGGGTCCCACTAAAGCGATATTAGTATACCCTTCGGGTTGAAATATGAGCTTAGTTGACTAGCTATTAGGTGAGCTGCTGAATAAAAGTATATTCGACAGACGGAGAATACTACTTAAACTTAGCCAAATGGTTCTATAGCCGGCAGCACGGGGACAAACTGAAGAGAGTCTTCACTGAAGATCCGCCCAGAACCTCTCTGCATTGAAAGGAGAAAATTAGTATTTTTTTTTGTGGCCGGTCAACCTGACCAATGTAGACGTATATTGCTGCTGGCTTCGACGTCCTCGTAATATAAATATTGGAGGCGCGATAGGTCAAAATGCCGTGACAGCAACTAACGTTGCGAGACATGTCTCCCACCTTTTGAAAACAGATAATTTCCCTCATTCATCATTTGCAGTGAGCAAGTTTTCCTGAATCAAGTAATTTCGAAATCAGACCAACTCCTTCAGTGTGGTCCAGAGGCTTTTTCGGCGAAAAGCAGCCAAGATGAATAGCCAACGCACCGACCGGCGTGGGTGGCTCAAACTTGAAGCTAACCGAACACAACCAAACTCAAGAAAAGCAGCTATCGAACCTTCCCATTCACTTGACTGCAACATTGACGTTCCCTCCAGTATCAGTTACCAAGTGTCGCTTTGAATGTGATTCGAGACAGACAAGAAATCACAAAGTTTTCGTGATTCTTCCCCATCCAAGAAATCGAAAGCACGCGACCGTGTGCTGTGGAGTAAACGGGCTTTCAAACACGTAATAGAAGAAAAAATCTACTGAGGCTTCACCACACTAATGATCACTCACAAACTTAAGAAATATTCGGACCTTCGTCAAATTACATCGTTCGCCACCGCGCCGACAACACGTCTCCGCGAAAGCCACCAGAGACGCGTAGGGGCGCGGAGCGACCTGGACCGGCTGGTTCCCGGTTTTCCCGCTTGGCGGCGTCCGTTTTGCTGGAGTCGCGAATAACAACGATATTCAATGATTTTCTCGAGTACAAAATTTGACCGGACAATCCCTTTAAAGGGGGGATGCAACTTCGTTCAAAGATTTCTGGAAGTTGCCCTCTGACACTTCTGAAGTAAAGAACAGAAAACCGATTTCGCCTGCGTGTCCTAGTTGTTGCGTAAAAAAAAAGATAAATATTGGCATTTCGGGCACCCCTCAACTCACTCCCAGCCTTCCTGGTCCCCCGTCACTAGGAAGGGGACACCTGTTCCCCCTTCTAGTGACGTCATTCGGGGTGCCGTGTAGCTTCCCGTGTGCTATCTCGAAGGACGCTTCCCCTCCCTCTCTCTGCGTGCATTAGCGGGCATTATGCTGCAGCTTAGAGCCGAGCCAGGTCACGTAATCTTTTCGCCATAGTTCCTTCGGCTGCCACTTGGGGCTGCAGGTGGGGGAAAAAGCTTGGCTTTTGCTTTGCGATTATGCAGCGGAATCGCGACATTTTTAATGAAGGAGGTGTTTTCTCTATCCTCCCGGACGCGATAGACAGCGTAAAAATGACATGCAAATTCTTTGAATCATAAAATCGTTGCACCACCCCTTTAAGCGCTTAACAATATTGAAGAGATATACCGTAAACGACTGGATTTTCCCGAGTTTCCCGACTGAAATAACATTGCGAAAAGTAGATCTCACGAATATGTTCTTTCATGGTAACGAGAACAAAGTACAAATATAATCCTCTCGGTGCTCCCCTCTTCTAAGCTCCGAGGGAAGCTAAGTTGTGGCAATGCAAAAAGTGAAAATATATATGAAAGGAGGAAGCTAGCAAAAGTGGAAAGTGCAAACTCTATGTCGGCTTTTAAAGATCTGATCACTTATAATTTGGGTTTCGTGCATTTGGATAAATCCGAAAAACTCTGAAGAACACTCGCTGGTAACGGTTTTGTCGGTTCAAATTTATTCGATAAATTTCCAATCTTAAAATCGCATTTGGCAAAAAAATATTTAAACAACAGTATTGTATAAACAAGTTTGTTCAGGGCAGTCATTGATTTCTACTCTTCTTTGAGATCTCTGTCTATTGAGAAAGGCTGGGGCTTAACTTCTTTGGTCAAGTCAAGGAACGGGTCATTCCACTTGTGGGTCGCGACAAAAGCTGGTGTTCATGTGCCTAAGCTAGACCATATACTGCACTAATAGTATTTTTGCTTCTTAGGAGAGAGAGGTATATGTTTTTATTACAGTGAAAGCTATGAATCCTTAAGATATTGTGGCGGTGGAGGGGAGGGGCAGTTGAAACTTCAATATTACCCCCTCCGCCACTTCCCTGGGTTCGTGCCAGTGCACGATGAGGTGGCGTGGCGCTACGGTATCGGAAAACTAGTTTCCCGGCTGCAACGCTTGCGAGATTTTAGATCTTAAAGTGTCAACGTTCATCGAAGCATCACTCGTTCGTGAGTTTTGTCGTGGGACAGTCAGTATTACCAATCTCAAGGGTGCTAATGCCAAATGTAGCTGAAGAAATATCATTTTGATACTGGAGAGTTCTGACTGGTACTCGAGAGTTCTAACGAATTTAGCGCCAAATATTTAAAAATGAGGAAAAGAGAAAAAATGAAACTCAATTCCGGAGAAACGAGAATTTAACAAAAAATTAAACCAAACACACTCGTAAGATTTTGAAAGAAAAAAAAAAAAAAGGAAATCCTAGAAACATTTTTTGAATTTGATATGAAATGAACATAGAGAGCGCGGAACCCCACGTGTAAATCGCCGACGGGACGGAAATGACTGGGCGTCTCTTTCGAACGCTTACCCCCTCCAGCACGTGCTGGTTCTCTTCCCCCTTGGTTTGGCTGCGAGCATGAGCGCTTCAGGCTCACGAGACGCTGAAGCGAGGTGGAAGGTAGGATGCTCGAGCTGGAAGCTGGATCACTACAACTCCTCCCTGTCGTTCTCGCCCCATTGGTGATCAGAGTCATTCTGTTCGCTTCGCCTCTGAACATATTTATGAGACAAGAGCGTTTCGACTCGCCTTCCAGATCCCCTGTACCAGGCGGCAGCCAGCACATTGTTGGAGACCATGTCGACCGGGATCAGGTCGGCCGACATCTGGAGGTCCGTGTACACCGTCTTGAGGACCCCCTTGCCGAGCTGAAAGGGTGCCGGAAGAATTGACATCTTAATTTCGCTTCCTTTTTTTTTCTTATTATTAATTGTGTGCTTGTTGAGACAGCAGAAAGCTAGTCTGCCCTAGTGGACGTCTGGAGTCTCTGTTGTAGACGAGAAATTTAGCCAGTGCGGTACTGCTGCCGGCCTGGGTCTTTAACCCTTTCCCTACCACGGACGACCTGGGTTCGTCCACACTGTTTGTACCACTCCTCCCGAAGACGAGCTGGGCTCGTCCACATTGATTCGGGCTCCATTACGCTACCATGGACGAACTGGGCTAGTCCACATATTTCTAGTGAGCTTTTCCATAGATAGATGGCACTTCACGGAAAATAAAAAGCTGGTAAATTTCTGAATTCGGCAGGAAATTGTTCCAACCCAGAAAACGGGATTTAAAAATGGCGGCGTCAACTTCTGGTCGCTGCGGTTGTAGGGACGATCTTGCCTCAAAATCGGGGCGAAAACAAAGATATTGTGACGTCTCTTCAGATTCAGAAGACGAGGAAATGAATCTTTCATCGTACAGCGAGAGCGATGCAGCTGAGTTATTGGATTTTAGCTCAAACGACTTCGATTTCGATAAGGACATTGTGTCGGCGTGTCGGCATTGGGCTAGAATCAATGTAGAAAATCCCCCTCCAGCCCCTCCACATTTTGCATTCACTTTGCGTGCAAGGTGATGTGAATTGTCTGCAGTACTGCTACGTCCGGCCTGAAAGTCCATGTGCAAGGTGACGTGAACTGCCTGCGGTAATGCAGTGAAGCGAAACTTTGATCCCCTTTTCTTTTGCAGTCTGTTAAAGATTTCTCGTATAATAAATACTTTAAAATTTGTTTTTGGCCTTTGTATATTGCATACTAAATTTATAAGGCACATAAAAAAATTCATTTTCAAATCTTTTTTTTTTTTTTTTTTTCAACATTTTTGCGGAAGGCAAAGGGTTAACTTGCATCATGCAGTAGTGATGCACGACCACACGCTGGTGCTCGTCTATGTGAAAACGGGCAGGGCTGGGGATTAAGAAGAGCTTTTAGTGCTAATGTTGAGCCGAATATGTGTGGACCTGAGGAGAGATGCAGAAATCTATACAAAGTGCAGAAAGACAACTGTCACCCTTTCACGCTGCCTCTGTCACCCTCGCACATTGTCGGCACCTTGCTTGTGTTTTCAGTAGGGATCTTGCAAACTTTTGTCAAACCTGGGTTTCAACATCAAGGTTTGGCTAGTCCAGCAAACCTTCAAACTTTTTGGCTAAGTTTGACGAAGTTCAACTGGTTCAACCTCCGAAGATTGTTGGCCTACTTTGAAAAAAATATCTAATATATTTTAGAAACTTTATTTATGCGGTAGGTTGTTGTATATTTTACCCATCATAAAAGCAAACGTGTAATATTTTTAATGATTTAGTTTGTTAGCAGTTTCAACACATGCGCATAATAGTTGAACTTCAAACTTTTTTTAATCTTAAGAGTTGAAGGTCCAAAAAAGTTGAATGTGGTCGAACTCTCTTTTCGCCAGGTTTCTGGCATACTTAGTTTTTAGTGTTCTCTTTAGGTAAACAGTCCTCTTTCTATAGTGGCTGTTGTCGTCGACTCTAGGAGAGGTGAGATGCATTTATGGTCGTGCACTATTGCATGATTTGGGCATACTAAAATAGCGTTCCGTGAACTGGAAAAGCATCCTACTCGGACCTACTAGTAATGGGGCCCGGTGGCCGAGTGTGTTGGAGCATCACTGCTAGGAGCACGTGGGGCGGAAGCTCGCAATGCAGAACCCGGAGACCCTGGGATTCAATCCCCACACCGACCCATTTCGATCTGGACGAGCATTGTACCTGCGTGCGGTCGTCTATCGCCAATGTGTGGTGCGCGTTAAATACCCTAGGCTAGCAGTTGCACTGCACTGGCTACGTTTCCCACCTGCAGCGGAGACACCAGACACCATTAAGGCTGAGTAACTTCCCGCTGTTTAAACTATCGCACAATGCCACAACCTTTTAGATAGTAATTAAGTGTAACCTTGCAAGAAGCTGAAGCAATTTTTACTATCAATCAAAGACTGGTTTTTGGAAAGAAAAAGCTTGAACACTCACGGCAATGAGGAGGCCAGTGGGGCCATTGTAGTTGTCCACCCAGCCCTGAAGAAGAGAGGAAAAATAACATGGTCAGAAATCTTCGAAGGAAGGGTAACTGGGGCTTGAAAGTATCGGGGTTCCACAAACAAAACTTGCACTCTTTATACCCCACCCCCCCATCTCACTAGTGGTGCACAGTGCACCGGAAGCCATTGGCAGGAGAACAGGAAGGTTGCTTTTGTACGAGTTAAGAGTGACGGGCTAATCTTCGAGGGGGTGAAAAGTGACAGGGGTGTGAGGAAAAGGGGAGTTCCTCGTTCCCAACTTCTTGGGTTACACTCTCTCGCCCCTGTACTTTTGGTAGTGCTGCACACAACTAGTGAGATGGGGTATAGTGATGTTTTAATCCATGGCAGCTAACGAGAACATTTTTTTCTGTTTTAATTCCTAATGCTTTTCACAACTTTTTTTTCTTTTTACAGGCGGTTTTGTATAATGTTTAATCATTGGACATGTGCTGGTGGTGACAGAACTGAATACGAGTTGAACGGTCACACATACCTTGGAGGCAATTTCTAATTGAATTGATTAATTTAGAATCTTCAATCATATGGTTTTTATGAAATGTAAGACTGCAGTGAAAGAAAATCCCGCTCAAGTTAGCTTGAGGAGCTTTACTGTCTGATGCTCTTCAATGGTTTTTGCACAAAAACAATGCTACAATGCCAAGAAAAAAAGTGATAAAATGCATTGTATCCCTATGTCATGACTGTTAGTTCACTTCTATAGCTTTAGGCGATTACAAGAAATAAATTAGGCTCTTGCTAAAAGAACTGAGAAATAATTGCAGTGAGAAAATATAGAATTATATCATGTTTGGTATGTTAAAAGATTACAAATACAGTGTGCTAGTCCCCATTTGCACATGCTTCTGCAATGGCCACAATGGCTTTTTTTTTTTTTTTTTAAGCGGGATACAATTTTAACATGAACTAAAAGGATGTTAGAACGCACATGCAACGAGCCAAAGTAAAAGAGGTGCTTTTCCAGTTTCGCGCTGCGGGAAACCTCCCCTGCACCACAACCGCTGCGAGTGTTGCTTTGCTGCAGTGCAGCCGTGCCGCAGGAAAAGCGCACTCGACGAAGCTAAAAATTCTAAAAAATTCACAAATCTCACTATTTATACTTCATTTCACCTTAGGTCAAATCGGTTAATAGCCGACGACGGGACCAATCAAACGGCATCAAAAACGCAATGTCATGGTGATTGTCAAGTATCCCTAAGTGTTTTATCATCAATGAACCATATGCAGGGAAGAACCAGTGACTTGTTCTTTTCACGCTGTTTGATTGGTCCCATCAACTGGTAGTCTGGGCTGCGGATTTTGACTTAAAAACAAAGCATACAGGGTGAGATCGAGAAAATGAAACCTGGTGTTTCGGCCATCATAAATAACCGCTATACTTCATCTCACCCTACGATGGACTAAAGGCAAAAGCTAGGGACCGCTAGATCCAACCACGAGCCATTTAGCAAGTGCGTGGTATATGCAACGAGGGTGGCATGTCGCTTTGATGCACGTATCGGTGCCCGCGTCTCGGATCACTGATGAGGATGGGCGGATGGTGGTTCGAATTGAATTGCACTGAGTGATTCATCAATTTTACATTGCAAAGAAAGCCACTACATACAGGCTCTTTACAATGTCAAAGCTATAGAAAAGATGCAGCGCTCTGGGATTCGGAGCATTATTCGTCCACCCCTAACCGATGTTAAGCATGTCATAGTTTAGCATGAAACGTGATTGGATCTGGCGGCCCATGGCTTTGGCTCTTAGTTCATCGTAGGATGAGACAAGGTGTAGCATCGCATTCTCAGGGAGTTTCAGCTTTCTGTGGTGCATAGTTTATTAATGCAGGACGGAAAACCCTGTTTCATTTTCTTGGTCTCTCCCTGTAGTTCAAATTTCGAATCAATATTTGAAAGCTTATAATCTTTACAAGCTTCTCCAACTTTATTTTTGATGGATTGACTCGGTACAAACATGAATTGGAACCAAATAGGAAGTCGTGGGAGTGTACAAGGCTAGCTGTCTTGTTTTTGTTGCCAAGTAACCCTGGAAGTAATGCAATTGTCGTTGGATAATCAAATTACTAGAGATATACCTTCTTTTTATTACGCAGGTCACTCCTAATCTCTTCTCAGCTTTATGCTGTGATATCAAGGTAGGATGTCAAAATATTGCTTTTTATTTTTTCTGAGCTGCACGGACTGAACAAAGGACATTAAAACTAAATTTTGGTCTCAATCTCTGGGTGGCATTTGTTGCACTGATTTATGCAGTCTGAAGCACTATTGGTTGCAAAATATGAGCATTGAATCAGCTTCTCTGACTATTGTACCTATGCTCTGTTGTACCTGAGCTCATAGCATAAGCAACACACTGCAAGACAACCCCTTAGAATGCTCCGATGGCACACTGTGGTGCTTGATGCGGAAAATATACCTCACAAAGGCCTTGTGGCCCCTTAAACTTAGCCTTCATCATCATCATCATTGTGGCAGGCACCTCGACAGGCTCCTTCCCACTGATCTCTATGTCTATTTGCTGGATTGCGTTCGAGCAATCCAGCAAATGGACGGGAATGCGGCCACGGTCGGCCATCTTTTTGGTAGTTATATTATCTGTAGCCATCATAGTAATATGGCGGACAGCGCAATGGCGGCAGGCTGCCATAAAATAGCCGTGGGTTTAGTACACTGTACCGTGGGTGATATTTCGTGCTTGACTGAAGTTGTTTGACGAAGCAGATTCTTGAAACCCGGCGTGAACGGTAGCCTCATCTTTGAGGACCCGGCAAAAGTTCTACGAAAGCGCAGCACCGGGGGAAAGCAGCGCAGCTCGCATCGAAAGCAGACTCCGTACCGGCGTCTGCTTTCGATGCTTCTTTCATTGCGACTTTCGATGCGTGCTGTGCTACTTTTCCCCGGTGCTGTGATTTCATGAAACTTTCACTGGGTCCTCAAAGATCGGGCTACCGTTCACGCTAGGTTTCAAAAATATGTTTCGTCGAACAATTTCAGTCAAGCACGGAATATCACCCACGCTATTTTGATGGCAGCCTGCCACCACAACTACCACAACGCTGTCTGCCATGGATGGATGATAGCGGCTGCAGCAGCTCTACCTCGGCTAGAGGTAACATAACTCAACCAAAAAGATGGCCACTAGTGGCCGCATTCGCGGAGCGGGCAATTGCAATCCGGCAATTGTCATAGAGATCAGTGCTCCTTCCACGTTCGCACACACCTAGCTCTAACAATAATTACCATTATCGTTGTGACAGACATGCCTAGACGGGCTCCTCTGCATTAGCGCACAGCTCTAACAATCATTTCCAACACATTGTGGCAGGCATACCTTGACAACTCCTTCCGCATTTACACACACCTCTAACGATCATCATGATCATTGTGACGGACATACTTGGACGGGTTCCTTCCACATTCGCACGCACCTAAAACAATCATCATCATAATCGTGATAGACATACCTGGACGGGCTCTTCCTACATTTGCACAGAACTCTAATCATCAATGTTATCATCATTATCATTCTGGAAAACGTGCCTCGATGAACTTGATGCTTCCACATTCACACATGCCTCTAACAATCATTTTATCATTGTAGCAAACATACCTGGACAGACCTTCCACATTTGCACACATCTCAAACAATCGTCATATTGTGACACATACCTCAAGGGGCTCCTTCCACGCCCCGGTGATGATGGAGGGCCGGATGATGGTGACGGGCAGGGTGGAAGATGCCTCCTGCACCAGCTGCTCCGCTACAGCTTTGGTGTATGTGTAGGTGTTGGGCCGGTCCTTGATCAGCTTCGGCGTGATGGCCTCCAGTAGCGAGTCGTCCATCCACCTGAAGGAACCGGCAAGACAAGCCGTCAGTTTTTGTTTGCAGCAGAAGAAATAAAATACAGTGGAATATTGCTATCATATACAGGGCAGTTATTTTTAGGTACGGTTTGTGCAGGTGCATGTTATACAACCTGGGAGACATAATGTAGAAGGGTCATTGTCATGATCAGTCAAAGGAATAACTAAACTGTTCTAATGAACATTTTAATTTGGTGAAAATAAATATATGGTTTCAGTTATAAACTTGCTGAGCATAATTTATCATGCATTCTTGCACTGCTGGCCTTGTGTCTGTTGCACAAACGCAACACCTGCTTGCCACATGCTCTATGTGTACCTAAAATTTACTGATTTAGTGGTTTTCGATGACGCAGAAGAATTGGAACCATATTTGTTTATTTGTAGTAATGAAGAAACTAGCAGATTTCAGGCAATTATCCGACTTGTGTCAATTAGCCCCCTATATTATCTAAATAGCTTTCGCGACTTAAAAAAAAAAAAAATCCGTAAAGCTTTTTTTTTATTTATTTATTTATTTTTATTTGGGGGGGGGGTGCTTTTTGTTTTCCCTCCCCCAAAATAGAGAAAAAACTTGTTTGTCCCATTTTCTACGTGGCCAAGGGTTTTATGACCGCCACAACGAATTTGTTTTATGAATTAATAATCTTCAGATATTCTAATACACGGCCCTGCAAGGTCTAAATCATCGATATAACAATTTTTCGGAATAAAAACCGATTTCAAGTAAACCATCGCGATCAAGAAGAGTGGGGCCGAGGCGCGAAAAATAAATGCGACAGCGACGGCCTCTGCCGTCGGAGCCGCCGTTCAAGCCGCCGACGCTTTGCGAGTCCTCTCTCGGTCTTGAGCGTAACTGTTTGTTAGTGCACATCCGCTCTCCCAGGAGGCGCAGCGCTACGGGAGCCAGCAGGAGCCAGAGTTGCGCGTTGCGCGTTCATCCCCGTAGCGTCGTCTTTCCTGCTCATCGGCATCTTGGAGGCGCGCGGCGGCGCTCTCGAAAGCGGGGGAACCGGGCGCAACGTCTACTTTCCTGCACGGCTCTTGATTCGGCTCCTCACGTGATCGGATCTGGGCGAATAGCGGTGCGGCGGCACGTGAAAAACAGAAGCGCAACTCTGGTTCCCGTAGGGAGCCTATACAGGAACTCTAGCTTCTAAAGACCCTCGATAAAATTCACGCTTACAAGTAGAAATGCCGCGAAACTCCCGAAGTTGGGTTCAAAAGGTTCGAAATTTTCGACCCTCGCTAAGGTTCGAACTTGTAAAGTTCGCAACTTTAGAACCCCGCCGAGGTTCGAATTAGAATAATTCGAAAATTTTAAGGTTTCTGAAAGGTCGAGTTCGAAGATATCAGATTTTTTTGACAGATAATTCGAAATATCCGATCATTTCGAATTTATTTTAGATTCAACTTCGAAAAATTCAAATATTGTGATTTTTTTTTTCGAGGGCAAGGTCGACGAAAAGTTCGGAAGTTTCGATTTTAAGTTTCAAGTCTGGATTTCTTGGATGGAAATCAAATTCCTGTTTGAAACTTCCATGAATTCATCTAAAAAGACCGCAACATGTGCTACAAATTTTACTAAAAACGTTGCCTATTGCTGTTATGTCGTGATTGTAGTCCTTCATAATTGTAGAATTACCCGAAACTATTCTGAACTTACTCCAGCTCAGTTGCACCCTCAAAGTTTTCTTTGTTAATACTCCCTCCTTCTCAGTGCTGTGGTATTGACGGTACTTTTGTATTACTCGTTATCTGTCGTAACTTATGAAACAAGCGCTAAACTAGTTAAACGGTTCGTCGAAAAGCCCTGAGGCGGTCAGGTGAACATACTCCCTACTTATATTTATAAACTAGTAGCAATCCGATCAAACGTGGCCTAAATGCAATGGACAACGCATTCACACGAAGGCATCCAGGCTTCCCGAACATTTCTGTTACTCTGGGCGTTTATTTTCGGCATGACTACCCGTGTGATGGAGAAACAACTGAACACAGGCACATCACCCGACAGAAGTCGTGGTTCAGGAGAATGCAACTAAATTAGGGGACCACTCGGACTAATACAGCTGATCAGTTCACGACCGGTTGTTATCGGACTAACGGCTGCCTGGAACTTTTCTTCTTCGACGAATGGAGCCGGTAACTCATGATAATGAAGTAAGCGCCGATTCAGCGTTCGCTGTAGCTCAACGGCGTCGCTCTCCGCGCGCGCCTTTCCTTGACGCGAGGAAATCCAGAGTCTTGCGTTCGAAAACAACCAATGCTATGAGGGTGCTGCGAAGGACGCTCCCAGCGAGGCGCCCCAGTTGAACTTCAAGCCCGCAGATCAGGGATCTGTTGGCCTACAAGTTACCTCGGGGCAACCTACGGAGTTGTGCGCGGCAGAGCCTCTGTGCGGAAGTCGAAAGAAATAGGTACGAGGCCGAGGCCACGCGATCATTCAGCGCTTTAGGAGCGCGTCGTTTGTGGCACGATCAGCTAACGGCCAGACTCCGAGTGCAATTTCAACGCCACTTCACACCTTGACATGTGTTATTTATATTTGGCGGACTTGGATCCACGGACATTCGCTTCTTGCGCACTCGACATCGTCATGCGGCAGGAGTCCGTGGCCGTTTCTTCAGCTGCGGCCGTAGTAACTTATGCAGCATAGTCGACCTACGCACCGTGCGATTTTTTTTTCTTTTTCTTTTAGCCTAACAAGAAAATTTTTGACAAATATGAAATAATATTAGGTGGCAACGCGCCTGCGCTCGCAGCGTCTCAGGCGTGTTCTGAAGGGACGAAGTCCACCTTATTATTGGCGCACTGTCGGAAGCAGGACTTTGGTGTTGGTATAGGCCCCGAAGATAGGCGCGAGATCCTGCTGTCGCAAAGCCCTGTCCCGTACAGCACGCCATTGATAAGGTGGACTTCGTTCCTTCAGAGCACGTCTGAAAGCGCTGAGTAATCACGACGCGCGGGCGCGTTGTCCCGTGATCTTTATATATATATACAGGGTGTCACACAAGAAAATTTACACGGTCTTTTTTACCGCAAAAATAAACTAGGCATCGCCGAACGCTCATTCTCGACCCTAAGGTAGCGCTCGAGGTCACAACCAGATGCCAAAGTTTCAGCCCGATCCGATAACTTAATCAAAAGTTATGAGTGATTTTCTGAAAATTTAAATGGGAAAATGGAGCCCATTTTTGGGCCCGTTTTCGGTTTCTGTTGCCATAGAGCCCCATGTGTTTGAAAACTCCGTCGATTTTCCCATTGAAATTTTCAGAAAATCACTTGTAACTTTTGATTAAGTTATCGGATCGGGCTGAAACTTTGGCATCTGGTTGTGACCTCTAGCGCTACCTTTGGGCGGAGAATGAGCGTTCGGAGATGCCTAGTTTATTTTTGCGGTAAAAAAGACCGTGTAAATTTTCTTTTGTGACACCCTGTATATTTAAAGGAGCGGTGCAACGATATTCAATTGGCATGTTTTTCGCTTGACACGAGCTTACTGGCACACCTGGGACTCAAGGATACTCACACGCAACGCCACTGGCCAAGAAACTCCTTTGTTGCGGTGTAATTTCAAGGACAAAAGCGATCATTTTCATTCAATCTCTCCTTTGCAAAATTTGATGACGTAACGTGGGGATCGCAGTACTCCCAAGTGACGATATTTGAATGCGGTTCATAGATTGGACCCGAGCACTGCGTGGGCTCTCGACTTAGGCTCGTGATAACTGCTAGCTCGACAAGCATTCGGGTATGACCCGTGTCCAATCGCTGCAACGACGACAACAGCCGAGCCATACCAATGTTTGGAACTCAGCGCGTGTCCTGTGCTTTGCCAACCCCAGCGCGTAGCTATGATTAACACTGGCGGCATATAATCGGCTCCAGATCACGTGGCCGCTTGTTCTGGCTGCGAGTTGAGGGGGTGAACGCTGCTCGTCTTTCTTTAATTATTTTTGTGAGACTCCTATTGCGTGGGGTGAAAAACGAACGCGTGTTTCATAGGTCATTAACGTTAGGGATCCGTTTTAAGCGGTATTTGCGCAAAGTACAAAAATTGTTGCATCGCTCCTTTAACGGGCTTTCTTTTTAGGCTAAAAACAAAAGCGCTCAAGGCATTCGCCTCTCTGTCGTTCTTATTCTGTCAATAGACCGATCTCACCAGCTGGTTTGAGTACGCCACCGCTGCCGCCATGCATCGTGGGAGCTGTAGTCTTTCTGCACGCGCGATGACCCTGCTGGAGGCCCGCGCGAGCAGAGCACGAGGCGGTATGGGCGTCTGCCTCCTACGAACTACAGTTATGGCGGCGTCACGCATGCGTGGAACGCTTGGTAAGATCGGTCTATAGTACGCTTATCGCGACAAAACACTACAAAACTAAAGAGGAAAAAGAAAAGCGGCTGCATTTGCGACATTGGGTGGTTTTGGAAAGAAGTGTTTTATGATGAGTGTTTCTGGTGGCTGACTTACTCTGCAATGTTCATGAGGTTGGCGGGCTTCATGTGCGTGGGGTACACCTGCTCCCTGATCTCTTTCTCGTTGCAGTTGCAGTAGGCCGTTGACACGTGGACGTACACCTTCGAAGAAAAGGCGGACAATTGCTTTTAGGCCAAGTTTCTTTTTGTACATCCTTCGGTTTGGAATCAACCGTACTCCATTGCTGCGATGCCTCCTTCTTAATGAAAAATGTTGAAGGATGAACTAATTAACGTTCGGCTCTGCTTCCTACTGTTTATGCGCTATTCACACGAAACCCCCGGGACGGAGCTGCGTGACGTCGACCGGCGAGGCCCTCGCCTCCACCGCGGAGCCAGCTTCGGAGTCGAGGAGTGTTCGTCCGCGCCTCTGTCGCGGAGGTCAACGTCACCGCGCCGCCTCAGAAAGACGTGACGTCAGCATCACGTGACGCGCCCTGGGCGGAGCGAAGCGTCGGATTTTTCTCTCATGTGAATACCAGCAGTGAAACAAAAATAGTTCAGTTCTCAGCCTGTCGGGTTTGTTCGAGGGTATTTGTTACAACTGTATCAACTTGATTCAATCTGATTCATTTTGCTTTCACTGCCTAAAAACTACGACAATTTCGCTTTTGTTGCTATAGTTGAGTTTTACTTCAGTGAGTTTTAGTAGACGTTTGTGAAATAGTAGCCGAACAAAATCAGATGAGCGGATTAAAGGACATTTTTTTTCTGTTTACATAATTTACTTAGGGCCGTCATTGTTTAGGTGCCTTAATCCTTATGGACTAGTTAAGCTGATGAGAATTAAGTGTGAATATGGTGTCCTTTAAGAAAGTGCACGAAGGAGTACATACCTTGAGGTTCTTCATTTCGTGGCAGAGATCGAGGATCATCTTTGTGGCAGCGATGTTGGAGCGGACTGAGAACCTGACAACAACAAACGAGCCTCGATTAACGCATATATTGTGCAGCAGAAAACTGGTGACGATTAGACGTAACACAACCCTGACACTGCGGGGAACAAAAGCTTTTCGTGTGTCGTCCTTTACTTACTTTGCTGAAAGGTTTGTTTGGGCTAGTTGGAGGGTAAACGTTTCGCAATAAAGCAGTGCAACGGGACACGGACGAAGTAAAGACGAGACAGTACACAGCGCTGTGTGCTACCTCGGATCGTCGGTGTCCCGTTGCGTTGTACAAGGGGTTAGAATACTTATATACGAAATTACTATCAACGCCACTTGAACAAACGCTATAACACTGGCACCTATATAGAGAGAGGAAGAGGGGAGGGGCAGCTGTATTTATGGAAATAGTGAAGTCAGGTAGTGCGTTCCTGTCTCTTTTGGCCAACAGGAATTTAGACATTTGATAACAATCTGTGAACGATGAAATTTGGCGTAAATTGCACAAATGGTCGAGACGCAAAAAAAAAAAAAAAAAAATGGTGAGCGGATGATAGCAAAGATTCTTCGAGACGTTCGTTGTGATAAAATCACAGAATCTTTATAAATTACATGCGTCACGGAATACCTATAAATAACCTGCATCTAGCGTGGCTGCCTTTTTTTTTTTTTTTTAAAGTTACAACATAAACCTGTACATTTCCTAGTGTTACACCTGTTTCACATGGTGCGAATTGTCTTGGGATTTTGCGGTAGGCGACTTTAAGCACCTCGGCCTCCGGCACGCGTACATCGTCCGCCAGGCGTACCTGAGGGGTTCGTCGAAGCGCACGGAGGCAGCGCCGTGGATGACGACGGACACTTCCCTGGTCAGGCGCTCCCGGTCGCTGTTGGACATGCCGAGTTCCGGCTGAAGCAGGTCCCCTGCCACCACCTGGACCTTGGACAGCGCTTCGGGGTGCACTTTCTGCACTCGCTCGAACAGCTGATCGGCAGGAGAGAAACAAACAATGAAGGTGCGACGGCACTGGACGGGGTTCTTTAACTCCGTCCAATGGAAACAAGTTCCCCGGCGATTTTGTTTTTCTTCTTTAACTATACCCACAAGACACATTTTCTATATACCCAAACTTTACTCTTGCCGGCATGCTATTTATAATCTCTGGATTCAAGGTTAAGGAAATGACAAACGAATGTGATGCCAAATTCAACGTGCAAATTTTCCCGTGCTTCCAGTGAGGTGATGTCACATGTACTATTAGCCCCGAGAGCGAACACAAGCGTCGCTGCGGTCGCCGCGCCCTGATTGGGTGAGGCGTACCGTGACGTCAGGGGGAGGACTCCGCTCCGCGATCTCGTATCGGCTCTCTTCCCAGCACCGGTTTCCTGGTTTGGCGTTGTGTGCCGCAACCTCTTCGAGGAGCGGGACTTCGTTTACCCGGTATACAAGACGTTGAGTTAGGCCGATATTGACGTGCTTCCGTACATTTTATAAGCCTGCTTGTCCCTTTTACCTTTAAAATTGGGTTACGAAGCCCGGAAGCTATCGGCGGAGGCGATTCCGCCGATGAACCTCCCCGTCCGTCCACACGGCACAAGGTAATCTTGCGACGGGTCGGTGAAGTGATGGCGCAAGTGTTTCAGACGCAGGAATTATGTTCCTTGCATGTTCATGATTTAGGACGATATTACATTCCGCTTTCAAGGCATTTGAAGTGGCATTTATATCATGGGCCTTTGGGGGGTCGGCAAATTAGCTCGCGACCCCGACTCTGTGCTGCCACTCTGCATGCGCTGGTTCGCAGATGTTTCAAAGGCTATGTTCTGATGATCTTCGAAGAGCTCGTGGAACACGGTTGCTTTACATAAATGTAGTTTCTTTGTGAATTAATTATATAGTATATACACGCATGCAAGTATACTTCTTAGAAGATGCACAATTACTGGAAATTAGTTTGTATGGTAGCAGCAAACACGGCCGGAATTGCCCCCAGTTGCCTGTATATGTATTGAACTGCCCAAAATATGCACAGCAATAGCGCCGTAATTTGGAATGTATATAGTTTTTCCTGACATTCTTTATTCCAGCCTTGGGTATTTGAAAAATACACCGTTTAGTCTGAATTGTCATTTCCAATTAAAAGAGATACTGCTGTAGGTCCCCAATAGCTTGCTCAGCCTCCAAACTCCGTACAGCTGGACTCTCTGACAACAGAGGAAAACAGGAGTAAAAGCAAGCATTCGAACGTCTGTCCAGTGGTAGATGCAGCACTAGTATGAAAATGTGGAACCTGTGAAGGGCGACAGTCTGCGTGAGAAAAGCTTCTGGTATTTTAACTTCAGGACGATTCGATTGAAGTAAAATCTCAATTTTAGGGCTTAAGTGACTAATAACGAGTTAGACACCTTCGTTTACGTTTGTTACACATTACTTGAGGGTTTATATAAACAAGTCCACAGAAACCACCCGCGTAGTCCATTGAAATACTATCCGAATCCAGCAAAGGTCAAATGCGAGCAATGTATATCGTAAATGTTCCTTGTTTTTTTTTTTTGTTTTTTTTTACTTTGCCCCTGCACTTGGACTGTCTTACTTGTGATTCTCTCCCCATGGCCCAGACTGTATTTAGCATGTTGCTCGAGCAGCATGCAGCTTTTTTTCTTCGGCGATCTTGTTTAAAAACAGAGATGCAAGACAAAAATAGTATACATAACCTGCCCATTCATACAGACCATCAGCAGCATTTATTGTGCGAGATGTAAATCTGTAGTGATGCTCCTGCAATTGCGGCCATATTTCTTTATTTTCATATCCCAGCTGTGATTCATGCGTTGCCTGCCCTGTCAACCATGCTTAAAATGTTGGTTGAAGTTTCGTCTGTATAGCTACAGGTCATACCTCAATAAAGGCACATATAAAAATTTACACTTGCTACGAAAAACACGAAAAAAAAATTAAATAGAAACGAACGCGCCGACAGCTAGCGTCGTCACAGCCTCCACAGGGCGAGCGGGCCGAGTCGCGGAAAAATTCTCTCCTCGCCGTGGCGTCACCCCGGTTCGCCGTAAGGGGGCGCCACGCGAACTTCTCGGGGCTAATAACTTGCAATTAGAGCAGGCAGTCTAAAAAAAACTATTTTGTGCATGCTTCGTTTGGTTTGTTTTGCTGGCGGGAGCTTTAAGTCCCGTTCACACTCTTGCAACCGAGTACGACCGAGAAAGACCGAGACTTGTTAAAGCCTTTTAAAATTTCTTTGGACGAGAGAACACGCTAGCGCCATCTATGTGGTGACACTGGAACTGCATTCCACAAAAGCGAAAGTTTTGCGGTATTTCTGTAGTCAAATGTGCGTAATACCTGTAAGAAAGGCTCGTTTATAACGTTGACAAAAGTTTATCGAGGCAAGAAAGAAAAGATAATGCCCGAGAGAAACAGAAAATATGCCGGACATTGGGTAGCAGTTTACACTGCTACCCAATAGAGGGCGCTAGTGTGTCCTCTTTTTCTAAGAGGTTTTGAAAGGACCCAGTTTTAAGAAGTCACAAGACTGTGAACAGGCCTTTGTAATTAGCATTCATTTCGCACCATCAAACTTCTTGTAACCCTTTGCCTTTTTGCTGCTCCATATATAACATCTGACGTTACGTATTCAGTGTTTGCAGTAAGTCCAAATTTAATACTTCGCTGACTTTGCTAGAAAGAAAAAGAAAAAAAGGAGATTCTGGCTTGTAATTTGGATTACTAGTTCAGACGTGTATGTTAATGTCTTGAACCAATTTTGATGCAAATCGATTCCTATCGAAATCACCGGAGCTCTCCGGCGAAGTTTTCATAGTGGCTCGTTTGCTCGAAAATTGGTCAACACATCAATATACACGTTGAACCAGTAATCCAAATTATAGGTGAACCTTTCTCTTTTTCTTTTTTGTGAAGTTATTACATTTTTAACGTTGATAAAGCCTGGCAGATCGCCACGAAAAGCGGTCGCCGAAATTGAAAAGGTAGGGCGGCAGACAACGGATGAGAGGAGAGCCACGTGACTGGCGCCGCGCTGCGGCGAGACGCCGAAACACACTTCTCCCGATCGATGGAATGTCTGGTCGTGCTCTTCGCGTTCCTCGCGCTACCGCTTCCCTTTCTCGTCGGGTTGAAACATAGCCTCCGAGATCCCGAAGCCCGCGCGCGCTTCGGGATCTTGGGAGGCCATGGTTGGAAAACCATATTTCGGGTACTCGCCGCTGCAAAAGCTGTGCGCTGACGTCCAGGTTCCCCGAGAAATGCTCTGTGCTACCAGATCCTCGCGCTCCAAATCTGCTACCGGGCACTTTATGGCTCCGTCGTCGAACTGCCAGGCTTTGTGAGTACGGTCGAGGCTATGGTCTAAAACACTGCCAGCTCGACCCGGAGGCTTTACATGTGATGTCACCCCGCTAGAAAGCCCGGGAAGATCGGAAGGTTAGTTTTGTCATCACCTTCGTTTCCCGCTTTCTCAATAACTATTCTGACTTTAGAGATGATAAATAGCATTGTCGGGAAGAGTAAATTTCGCGGGTACTCCGAAAATGTAGTTAATACGGGTAGCTCAGAAAACCGCCGGAGCTCCGGAATGATGTGAGATGTCGCGAGGAAATTGTGAATGTATATAAATGACCTCCCTTTTTCGTGCATTCATTCAGCTCTTCTTGGAGAGCACTGCATTGTGCATTTTCTGTGAAATGCCGCCGCGCACAAAATCTGACCTTGAGATGTCTTCGTGCCTACTAGATTTATACGCAGCTCCTACCCTGCTACCGCGAGCGGAGAGGAAGGGAGAGGGCAGTGTTATAGCGCACCGCCTCCCCCCTTCCCGCGGGGCGGTGCGCCATTAATCCCGCACGTTACGACGTCAAACCAATAGCCACTCGGTTGCTGACATTCTCCCTACGGCCTTGGTGCGACGAGACCAACAGCAACGCGAACAAGCAAGGTCCGTGCAGGTTTCCCGTAGAAAGCCATCGCGTTGAAAGAAATTCGTGGTCGTCACACTTGCATTTTGCAAGTGTGGTGTGTCGTTGAAGTGTCGGCCTGGCCATCTGGGAAACTTTGAGGTGCTAACTTGTACTCGGCGCAAAGAACACCGCTCCTTGTCCCGAGAAGTAGAATTAGAGCAAAGAGTGGTGCACCACGTGGAAGCTAAAGTGTGGTAGCTAATGTGAACGTAAGAAATGCTCGCGGGCAAGACCTGACCCTACTCATATAACATATCTTTAGAATTATGTTACGGTGACTGGAGCTGGCATATTTTACACGATACACTACTCGACAGGCATCTTCCTTGGTGCTGGCGTCATGGGAAGCAGTGACCAGAGCAGCACAGCTTACCACTTCGTTGAGGATCTGCTTGAGCCTGTCTCTGGCCTTCTGGCCTTTCTTCTCCCGGATGAGTACGAAGATGTTGCCGATGTCTGGACACGACCGAAGCATCTTCTCCAGGAGCACCTGTCAAGGAACAGAACAAAACGATATTGAAGATGAAGGTCATAATCAGTCGGCAGCCTCGGAAGGCTGGGAGTGGGAGCTGGAACAGCAGCTTCCAAATGCCTGGGAAACGTGTTCCACCAAAAAGCAGAGAAGACAAAAAAAAAAAAAAAAAGGCTAGCAAATTAGATGCCACACGTTTTCACAACGTGAGGTCGGTTTGTAATAGAATGGCCACATTTGCTCACACTGTACAGGGTGTTCTCAAGCGATACTTAGGTGTGTTTAAAAAAAAAAAAAAAATAAGCCAGAGAGCAGAATGCTATGGAACTTTTTTGACGTGCTCTGAGTTAACGTGCGCTATACTGTGGCAGTAAGCAGCCACCAACCAAATTTTGTTTCAGTCTTACTAACAAATATAGGGGAACCTCAGATAATCCCCAGAAAGTACGGTTAATAAATAATATTAATAAATAATAAAAGCAGTAATTAATGCCCGACATCGTTACTGTGCACAAACACCAAGCACATAAAAACGAAAGAGGGACAAAACACGATTGTGAATGCCTTTCTTTTGTATGTCTTGGTGTCGAATTTGATTACATGTTGAAATGTTGCACACACGTTTCGGAGTTATTGTTATCGTTACCGGAGTTATCGGAACGATCTACTAAAGCTCCCCTAGTAACCAACGCTGCGATCCAATGGAGCCAATCAAGCGGCGCGAAAGGTGTGGCGTCACGGCGCTCGTTCACTTTTGCCCGTTTAATACATAACCGGCTACACCAAACAAGGACGGAGAATGCATCAAGATCCGGCGCTTTTTTTTTTCTTGGCTTGTTTTGTTTAGCCGGTGATAGGAAACGTGCAGAAACTCGGCGAGCGCAATGACCGTATAGTTTTGGCGCTTTAGTCGTAGCGTTGGCCACGATCGGACTTTGGCGTGTATACACGCCAAAGTCCGATCGTGGCCAACGCTACGACTAAAGCGACTACGACTAAAGCGACTAAAGCGACTAAAGCGACTACGCATCACCGAACCCTTTGTATTCGACCAAATCCGGCGCTATAGCGCCGGATTTGGTCGAATACAAAGGGTTCGGTGATGCGTAGTTTATTTTCTCCAAACATTATTAGTATATATATATTAATTAAAGCGGGTTTTCTTAATCTAGGTAGTTGAGAAAGCCTTAGCCCTTCTTTGTAGCCGGCGTCTCGCAGCCGGGAAAGCATTCAGTTGAAGTCCGGCTTCCACTGCCGTCGCGGGAGGAGCGCGCAGGCGGAGGGGGTCATTGAAAGCTGCGACCGGCGGTGACCTTCGCTCAAGGTCGTCGTCGCGGGGACTTGCAAAAGCCGCTAAATGACCAGGGAGCGCCCGGCTTCTGGGAACGACTGAACGCACGACCTCGGGGCAGGACGAACGCCGCTGCGCAGACCGGTCGACGCGCTGGGCACGCACCGTCCACGACCTCGGACAAGACCGTAGATCGTAATCCGTTCCGCCGTTTACCTTTCGTGCTTTTTTCTTTTTTTTTTGTTGGCAGATAGTTGAGTTAGTTTTTGAAACAGAGTAGGATTAGTGAAACTTGCTCCGAAAATACAAAGTTGTGACGGTTTGGCGTGCAAACTCTTAACAAAAAATGTTGTCACGTACGTTTTTTTTTGTTTTTTTTTTATATTTTGAGGTTTGTACGTTGGACCTTGAGATTCAAATGGTTCGGTGAGCCTTCAAGCTTTTGGCAAAGTTCGACAAAGTTCGACTTTTTTAAACAGTGTTGACCAACTTCTATTTAAAACAAAATCTAGTAATTCAAAAAAATTATTAAAAAAAAACAAAAAAAAGAAAAACAAAAAACGTTCGGGTCCAAGGACTCCGAGCCGTCACCTGAGGCACCACCACCTCCATCATCGTCCACGGAGGGTAGGGCGGGACAGGGGGTAATCCCATTCTTCCCCATTTCGCCCTAAAGCAAAACTGCTGGGCCGATTTGAATAAAGTTTATTCTCTTTCTCTCGGAAGCCGGCGTATGTCCACTCCAGCTGTGAACTGCCCGTATACGCTGAAGGCAGATTCGCGTGAGATGATGCGTCTGCGCTTTATCTCGCGTCAGGGAGGCGGGTTTTGTACAAAACAACTAAAAACGCGTACAGTGACATTAGGCATTCGCTAAATTCCCCGAGCACCAAGGAGAATGCAGGGTACGTCGGTGCACGCGCAGCTCCAGATGCCAGCACGTGCAACCGCTCGCGCGCTCTCGAGGCGGGAATGTGTGGAACGTTTTCGCGAGGGCGCCATTATCTCGAAATATTCATTGTCACGTCCACTCTGGGCGAAAACGTTGCCATCACCACGCCAATAGAATGCATTTAAGATATAAGCATAACCGTCACCCATCCTCCTTCTATCTCCCCTCTGTGTTTTTACTAGTTGCAAGTTGAAATGTTTTTTTTTTTTTTGCCGCCTATACAAGATATTTGGCGGCAGTAAACGAGGGTACGCGAAAGATGTCTACTATGCGGGAGGAATACTGCTCTTGAAATAACAAAAAAATATGGGTTCTTCGGGTTGAGAGAATAAAAGGAAATAGACCGAAGAAAAAAAAAAAAAAAAGGTGTGCTTAATAATTTTTTTTTTCTTTTATGAAATGCCGATTGAGAGGGCATGTAGGAATCTAGAGGTAATGGCGATTGGGTGTTTCATCGTAGCCTCAGTAAAAGTTGTCAACTCTTCGTTGTATTCCGTACTGAATTTATTTTTACTCCGTCTAAAGGGCCGCCCACACTAGCGAGAAAACGCGCGTGGCACGCCGATCGCGGGAAGTAACAAAAAGTCGCCGTAGCACAGTCAGCGCCACGAGCGCGTGCAGAGACCCCGCTCAACCGATTCCCGCTCAACCGATTTATCGGCGCGCCGCGCCCGTTTTCTCGCTAGTGTGGGCGGCCCTTAATACAGTCATAACAAACTACTCGAAGCTCCTGGCACGAGGCCTGGCTTCGTCTGGAGTTTCGTTTGCACACGGTCTCGGCTAAAACGCGCGCTCTTGACGGTAACCTTGATAGTGGTGTACGCCGTATTAACGGAATTGAATGGAGCAAGTGACGAACGTGTAGTTAAAAAAAGATCCCGCGCAAAATAATCGCGCAATCGCCATCCATGCCATATGAAAACAAACAAGGTGGTGCTTTCCAAACTGGATCACGGGGGAAAGAGAAAGGGGCGGTTACGAGTGGCTCGATAATTAAAATAATGATAACTTGTCTTCTCTGTGGTGGTGTCGATGAAAACAAATAGAAATTGTGTCATCAGAGTCCTTATGCTTTACTCTAAAACTCACACAGTCCGGTGTACTTATACTTCGTAGTACATGCACTTCTACCAGCCATACAGTTCATTTGTGAGGCATGCAACGCACAACGGTGTGGCCTGCTTTCAGAGTTTCAGGGAATCGGTGGCCTAGTGGGATTGAGCACACCGGCTCGAACACGTGGAGCGAAAGCCCTCGCTGCAGAACCCAAAATCCCGAGTTGCATGTCGCCCCCCCTGCCCGTTTCGATCTGGATGAGCATCGTACCGGCGTGCGGTCGGGTATCACTACTGCGTGGTGCTCGTCAAAGACCCCAGTCTAGCGGTTGTACCGCACTGGCTAAATTGCTCACACCAGACGCCCGCTGAGGCAGACTACCTTCCGGCTGTATAAACATACACACAACCGTTTGCTTTGTTTTGCTAAATGCTCGAAGCTACGCCGAATCAGGCGAACTTCGAGATGAGACGTAGAACCTGAAGGTCGAATAAGGTTCGCTGCATCAAGCCGTAAATCGAACTGCACAGGTCGGCTTCAAGGTCAGACCACCAACGACGCAGCAACAGCGGCGGCAAAGCTTTTCCGCGCAATTCCTCTTGGTAACCTTTCGTCCAAACCGCGTTCGCTCATCGCGGTGGAGGGCTACCTCGCCATCTCGAATTAGAGTACGCAGAAGCCGCCGGTTCGGTCGGCCACACCGTGGCCGACTGCGTGTTATATCCAGGAAAAAGAAAAAAAGGGCCATGGTAACCTTCGTCGCTGGCTGGATGGCGGTCGCCGAGCGCGTGGTATTGCGCGCGCCTCTGTTTGCATAATCGGGGCGGTCTAAAGAGAGCGGCCGCCTTTGCGGTGCACCGCTAAGTTTCGAATAGGGATGTCGCGAACTTTTGACGAACTTGCTTTCGTCTCTCGTGGGTTCGCCACAATCGGCGCTCATCTTCTTTGTGGGTTTACTACGATTGATAGAACCAGTCAAGCAAAGCGCCGCCGATCCTGCGTTTATTCCCCCGCGTGTTTTGTTTAGCCACTGATAGCGAACCCGTACCAAGACGCCGGTACGATGCACTTTTTGGGCTGCTTGCTGTCTCTGTCGTATCGCGACATAGCAAATTTCGACAAAAGATCGTCTTACGGACAGCGTTGCCCGACTTCTACACAAACATGCAAAGCGCCTGTGCAGTGTCCAACTTTACTAAAACCCTCAGTTGGGAAACTCGCCCATGAAACCCGAACCGTTCGCGTCCACCGAGATAATAGCCGCCGCCTTTTAGCGACCAGTCAAAAAATGGAAGTACATTTATACTGCTACTGCGAAATGGCAATGCGAGGTGGCGCCACCGGCCCTCGCGCGACTCGACATGAACCGATACATGCAGACGTGCGATTCCCGGAGTGGCCGCTGCGGGAGAAATGGCGGCGTTGCGATCGCCATTAGTTTAGAGAGCCTTCATACACACGCGCCCTTTTGCTTGAGTAATGACATCTCAGCCATCTTTCCGCCAAATCGTTTTTTTTTTTATGCTTATTGAAGCGCGCGCAATCTGGTGTCACTCAGCTCGAGCGCGTAGCTTTGGCTAATGCATGGAAGCCATTTTACCGCCCAAGTCACGCACCGAGTGCGCGAGAGCGTCACGCGCTGGCACATTCAGGGCAACAATAGATGTCTTCACCCTCAGACAGACAGACACGTAGGCACCCTACATTAGTTCGGTTCTC